TGAATGATATATTTTTGATTCCCTGAAAGACAAACAATATACGGTACAAATCACAGTTATCTTATTGGAAATAATATCAAAGCTCCATATATATTTTAACATTGGATAATGCTATAATGATTGCTATTTTCATGAATAGAATCAAGTCACATGTCCCTAAAAATGTGATATACAATTTGAAGGTCACAAGTAGGTTATAGGTTTCCAACAGAAAAAAAATCATAAAGAGAATTACATTGTATTCATATTCATAAATTCCCATAAGGCCTGTTTAGATTATGAAATTTCTCATTAATGGAATCTTATGTGATCTTTGAATTAATTTTAAAAGCACACTCATGAATTCAATTTTATTTTATGGAAGCAATTCATAGGAATAAAATTTATTTATGAAATGAAATGATGACTGGTGTCACTGCTTGTCTACTGAGGGTATTTAGATGCAATATACATGAGGGTGTGGATGGGGTTTACAGAATAGAGAATAATGGGCAAAAAATATATAGAACAGAGAAAAAAGGACCAAAAAAAAAAATATAGAATATAATGAGGTGCTAAAATATAAAGAATTGAAAATATTGGGCAAAAAGAATAATAGAATAGAGAAAAATGGCCTAGAACATTAAAGAATACAAAAATGAAGGACACCCCTCCCCCATCCAAATCCTCATACTCATACATGAAATTTGTAAAACAAACATTAGATGTGTTATTGTTCACAATTGTATCAATTATTTAGATATAGTTTGTATGTTGCATGACAGAATTAATATTGATCAATATTAATTTACGTTTAAATGTGTTCATCTCCCCTAAACCTGAACACAACCCCCTTTTTTAAAATCTGGACTGTCTTTAACAGGTCTCATGGTAGAGTGTTCGCCTCGAGTGCAGGAGGTTGTGGGTTCGAACCCCAGCCAGGTCAAACCAAATACTTTAAAATTGGTATTTGCTGCCTCTCTGCTAAGCACCAGCAATAAGGAGTAAGAGCAAAGACTGGTCAGCTGGAGTCAGAATAATGTGTCTGGGTAAGGAGACATGTCTTCCTGCAGACTGCAAACTCATGAACCTTGTGAACTATATCTAGCATGTTAAAAATCCGACTCAGCCTGTCAGTCTAGTACTAAACAGGGTAAATATTCATATTACATTAACATGTTCTCTTCCTGAATATGCATATTAATTTGCCACTGGACGTTAAGCATTCATCCATCATCATCCAGTTTCACAACACAACTTGGTGTGACCCATCTGATTGAAACACAGATCCTATGTCTCCACTCTTTACTCACAAGACTTGTAAGTTAAGCACCAGGGCACATGATCTATATTTTAATCAGATTGAGGTTTGACTGAATTTCTGATGCACTAAAGAATCTATTCATATTGTGGTATTCTATTATGTCTTGTCGGTTTACTCGCCACTAAACTCATACATTCAAATTCATTTTTAATCCTGTACTTATGATCAGCATAACAAAAAGAATTAAAAATGGACAAATTAAAATATTATCAGGTTTCACAGATGTGCCCGTCTATCTTAAGGAAGTAACTTTTGTAAATATTTTTTAATTTTCCGTATAACTACTTAGTTCTGCTGACTTTCTTTTTTTGGGTGTAAAAATGGCTTTATCACCAACTTAATGTTAGGCTTACAATATGCTTACTAGTAATTCCATACTGCACAGAACAGCAGAGACATTTTTAATCAGCTTAAAATGGTAAATATCCCTTGAATGGAGCTTTTCAACATAGAATGTTGTCATAGTTACTTAAATACACCCATGCAGATGTTAGCTCTATTGGGTGTATCTAATTTACACCAAGAAATTATGGTTATGCAAAAGGATAGATTTTAATATTATAAAGGAGGAGCAGATTTCAGCAATTTGAACTTATATTATGGAAATTAAAGCAAGTGATAAATGCAGGATATCCAATTACATTAAATGTCAACTTGGTGTAAATACCATTATAATAATTATTTTTCTTATCACTGCCATACTTAGTCCTGTTGACTTTCTAGCTTTGACTGTAGAATTGCCTCCATCCCCAACCTAAAATCCAAGGCTTACAATCACCTTATTGGTAATTTGATATTGCAGTCAGAGCAGTATTCATTTTTAATCAGCTGAACACGGTAAATATCCATTGAATGGAGCTTTTCAATGTAGAATGTTCAGTCAAGAGGTAACAACTATTAGATACACCCATGAGAGTCGTAATAGCAGTATTGGGTGTATATAAAGTTACACCAAGAAATTATGGTTATGCAAAAGGATAGATTTCAATATTATCTAGGACTGGGGCTGCTTTCGGCAATTTGTTTTTATTTTATGGTAAAAAATTATCGATAAGTGTCATCTTGGTGTAAATATAGTAAGTATTTCCTTACACTATAGGTAGGTAACTTAGTCCTATTCACTTTCTAGCTTTGGATGTAAAATAATGGCTCCTGTTGGATGCCCAACCTAATATCAGGCTTACAATCACCTTACTAGTAATTAAGGCACAGAACAGCATCATGCACTTTTAATCAGCTTAACATGGTATAAACTTTCCTTGAAAGATGGTTGTCAAATCACTTATACTTGGTGTTAATTTATAACAATGTTAATTTTATATGTATTGATTTGATGAAGACCCGAATGAGATAGCAGGATGGTTTTATGATCTTTCGATCAATTTATTGCAAAGTTAACATTAATGGATAACATGCAGATTGCAAAGAAAGCTCTGAGAGTAATTAATTGGAATCTTGAAATTAATCAGGAAATTAGGAAGGGACGGCCTCTTTAAATTTAATGTAATTACCGTTGTTAATTTGATAAGAAATGGGATTCTTAAAAATAGAAGTTATTGGAGATTTTTTATAGGTATAGAGCAAAATAGTATTCCACAGATGTATGAGTATTGTATCTGAATTATAGTTTTTTTGTAAAAAATGTTTGTTTAATAAGTGGTAGGAAACCATGAAGAACCAATAGGAAGTTTGTTGCCTGTGCACATTCCACATTTTTAAATGTTGTGCTCTTTCCCAGAAATATATATATATATATATGTTGTTTGGTGTTCAGTTTCTTTCATGACAATTATATTGATTATCAGAACATATATGAGAAAGAATTATATTAATTACTAATTAACCATCTTAAATCTTCCAACTTGTGAGAAAAGCATTGAGTTTGTCATAATACTTTCATTCAATCAAATTTCTAATTTTTAGTCAAAGATTTCCCTGACATCTAACAGCAATTAACATGATTAAGTCCCAAAAAAGGCAGTCAGAGCAATCTTGGACCTATCTGTTTTTATGAAATTATGCTGTTTCTTCAAATAATTAAATTGCAAAAAGATAGTACAAATGTAACAACAAAAATTGTATAAAAAAAACCCTAGATATATATATATTAGCTTTATATATAATAAATAACAGCAAACAAGTATTAGTGAAAAAGAGATAAACAATTAATTCGATAGCCTAAGTAAATTGATGACCAAAACACATTTACTGAGTAACAGAAATCCTACAAACTACCGTAAACATCACAGATTTGATGATGAGATACAAAATTTACATTCTGTAATCTTGAAAACCATACAAAATTTATGTTTTTGAATCTTGAAAACCATACAAATTTGATCATGTTGATTAAATCAGTGAAAGTTAGCATGTATTACCTTCAAATAATACATGCTATATATTGAATATATATATGAGAACTGTTCAGAACAGGAATACAAGGGGAAAATAGATTAATGTCCAAATATGTACTTTAGCCAAACTCTAGGAAATTAACTTCAAAATGATTTATAAAGCTATCTTATAAAGTAAAGAGAGAGGCAGCTGGCTAAGATGGAAGTCTTTCATCTGACTTCCTATATGTGTTTATGACATTTGATAGTGTCTGTTAATGATTTTCAATGAACATAATGAATGATCTGATATTCACATTGACTGGTCAATAGCAGTAATATCAGTGTATCATACATGTAATATTGTACTGTATGATTCACTATAAATCCTGGGATACCAATAATCAGTTGGGTTTCATGGGTATGATGGTGAACCACAAATTTAAATGTTCAACGGAGTGCAAAATTTGTAAAGGGTGATGTATGCAGACTTACGCAAAACCCTAAAATCAAGTATCCACAAAAATAAAATTTTTAAATAATCAAAAACATTTCTACCCATGAAAATAAATGAATCCACTGTATATAATCATGTTATGTATGACATGTGACTCATGTCCCTCCACCACCATTTGAGAGTAAATATAAAACACTCAGGCATATTCAGGTGGGTCGTAAAAAGCATTGCCTCCTATAATTATTTAGTTAGATCTTGGATTTCAAATCAAATTAAAGGGTAATCTCAAAAACCTAGTAAAACATTTTCAATTATAGCCATTTTCTCTTCTCATTAATTTTGCTGCAATATCTAAGCTTTTAGTCACGGTTGCACCCTATGCTAATTTAGACGAAAGGTTATAAAATTAACCTACTAGTGCAACAAATAAAAAACCTGCTTCTGATTAATGTTGTCACAGTCAAACTGTTTTATCATAGATTAGCTGGACTATTCTCTTTTTCTAAAAGAAGTGTCTACTGATGGTTAAAAATGTTATTAAAGTAATATTTTGGTATCATATACATGTAATATTTTATTTTAGGTGAATTTACACAGGCCCAAATAAACTCCAAAATGTATCTCTCCTTTTTATGTCTGACTGGAGAAAATGTCTGATGCCACAGCAAATAAGTGATTGTTATATTACATTCATTGAAAGTTAAGTGATATAATTTCAGGTCAAATGTCACATAAATAGAGATCAGTTCATGAAAATTTCCAGTATGATTATCTTACTCGGACTCAGTATTCAAACAATCAAAATACTGGATTTGGTGTTGTTTAGAGCACAAATTAATACTCCAAGTACAAAAGTTTTATGACCGTGAGACCAGGTCTATAATTTTATATTTTTTTATATTGTTAGAATAAAGGAAGAAGTGAAAAAAGTAGGAAGGAGAGTGAAAGAAGAAGTTGGAGATGTTGCTATTTTGATAAACAATGCTGGCATTGTATCAGGGACCAAACTTATAAATACCCCAGACCATATGATAGAAAAAGTCTTCTGTGTCAATCTATTGGCCCACTACTGGGTGAGTACATAATCTGTCTAATAGCATTGTATCAGGGACCAAATTTATAAATACCCCAGACCATATGATAGAAAAAGTCTTCCGTGTCAATCTATTGGCACACTACTGGGTGAGTACATAATCTGTCTAATAGCATTGTATCAGGGACCAAATTTATAAATACCCCAGACCATATGATAGAAAAAGTCTTCTGTGTCAATCTATTGGCCCACTACTGGGTGAGTACATAATCTGTCTTGTATTACATTGTGTCAGGGACCAAACTTTTAAACACCCCAGACCACATGATAGAAAATGTTTTCGTGTCAATCTATTGGCCCATTACTGGGTGAGTACAAAATCTGTCTTGTATGAATAGTTTTCCATCGACTTAATGTGAGCTGGATTTCATTTCCCTTGGCCACCATATGCATGATGGAGGACACTTTGATTGATTTCTCATTTGAGTAAATAAATTTTAATAATTATACAACTCTTTACAACTCCTTGAAACTTAGGTCAGCAAATCTTAGGAACTTAAGATTAATTTTGTTAGAAATAAGGTTTTTTAGGAAGGACCATAAATTTAAAGTATTTGTATCAGAAACATTTGGAATTATAGAATTCTGCTTAGCAATATCATTAAAAAGATACGTTTTTTTTAAATTTTGTTGACAGTATAGTAGAAAGTGGTTTTCATTTTTGATGGTTATACAGGATTGACATGTTCTAAGGTTTTCAGATAATTTGAAATACTGTGTATCCATTATTATTTTGGGGTACCAATTTTTGTTGATTTTGTAGTAGTTGGTTAACCTGTAATTTCATTGTTCAACAACATATATAGGCTTGTAACCTGCAGACTTTGGCAAAACCACGAAATCATTTATCCCCAAAAGTACAATTTTTCATCAATCCATGAAAGTTGATACCAACAAAATCAATGAACCCACAGTGTTAATGCCCTTTTTAAACCGAAAATTGATAAGTCACCTACATTTTGTAAAGAGTCACTGAATGACTGATGATGAAGAATTGGCAGTAGTCAACCATTTGTTTTCACATGCAAATCTGTTACTTTACTATTTCTACATGTCTTAAGTAATGTTATTTTGTTGCGCAGTAACCAATTTAATTTTCTCCAGGATGATTTGAAATCTTAGTATGATATTCTTCCAAAATATGAGCTTTTTCCCACAATGCAAATGGATTTTAGTATGTTTTCTAAGTGAATTTGAAATGTTTAAGGAAATCATAAAAGTATCTCACAGTCTGTATTTTTATGCCCCCGCCGTAGCTGAGGGAGCATTAAGTGTTACCCTTGTTGTCTGTACGTCCATCTGTCCTTTGTCTGTCCGTAACGTCCATACATCCCAAAATTGGTTTCCGTTCTCTAACTTGAGTTTGCCTCAACCAAATGTTATGAAACTTATACACAATGAGTATTATCAACGACAAACAAGCATAATATTGAAAACTACTGACAAACCAACATATTATTAACAGCTAACAACAAACTAACACAAATCAAGTTCGAATTTGGGTTGCGTCACTTTGACCGTTCTTGAGTAATGTCCCTTTATAACATTTATATGCAAGCGGGGCATCATCTGTGTCCCATGGACACATTTTCCATTTATTTACTTTTTGTTATCCCTCTTCATTGCTCCTTTTGATGATTTCAAATTTAATTTAGGTCCATACATATGAATAATGTTAAGATATTCCAATAGATATTTGTCTTTTGTTTTTGTATCTTTGACTCTGACAACCAAAAGCCTTCCAGCAAACTGATTTATTAACAATTCATTGGCTGTACCTGTAATTTGGAAGGTTTTTTGTAATCTTTGCATGTTTATGTATAATTTTGCATTTAACATACATAATTAGGATTACTAGTAAACCATTTTACACTCAATTATAAATTTACAGCATTTATGAGGATCTGTACTGGGGCCTTCATTTTAGTATTCTTTAATATTTAGGCTATTTTCCTCTACTATTTATTTTTTGTCTTTTATTCTCTATTCTTTTAAATTTTGTTTGCCCATATTTTCATCTTTCCTTTATTTATATATATAAGTAACTTATTCTCTATTCTTTTTTTTCTTTTTGTATTTTTTTCTCTTTTCTGTAAACTCAATCCAGCCTCTCATTTATTTTACTTATTCTGAAGATTTTTTTTTGTAATTTACACCATTCAACAGGGGCTGGGTGGAGAGGTCTTCATTTCTATAAAAAATGAGGATATGTGGTATGATTGCCAATGAGACAACTATCCACCATGAAGTATTCTTTAAAAAAAAATAATGCCACTTTTCTATATTCTTTAAATGTTTGGGACTTTATTCTCTATTCTTTATATTTTAATCCCCCCCACCTTATCCTTTATTCTTAATTTTTTGGTCCATTTTTCTCCATTTCTGTAAATCCCATTTGAACCTTCAAATAACATGTAAAAGGCATTTATCATCCTTGCAAAAAATATTCATAAATGGTCATTCACATTTTTAACACAAAAGGAAAATTTGAACGATAATAAAATGATAACAATTTCCCATGTTGGCAGGTGATAAACAGGGGTATCCATATTAATTTATAAAAATATTTCTCTCTTGTTATTTTTTCATGGTGGATGTCACAAACATAACAATAATTTAACTTGTCTGACACCTGGCGACATTCCTAGACTTACTGGTCAGTCTATGGTCAGTTTGACCTGTCATTTATACACCTGTTTAGGTGTAAACAACAGCTGTACCATGTAAACATGGGAAAATATGCAGGTTGTGGACAGGTGAAAAATACATGTTACAACAATAGAACATTAAGCTTGAAAATTTAAATTCATTTTCTGTAACTACTAGTAATGCTCTTATACTAAATCTAGAATCCATTACCAATTTGCTGTGGATTCATTTATTTTTGTTAATACCTATTTTTTGTGGATTGAGGAAAAATTGTACATTTCATGGATATTTGATTTCATGGTTTTGCCATTTTAGTCTGCATATAAACTTATAGAAAATATATACTTCTTTAAACATTAAAATTCATGGAACTTGACACCTTTACTCTAGAAATCCAACAAAATTGGTATCCCATGAATGATAATGAACCCTGGCAGACATACTATTCTCAATTTTAGAAGTCTCTTTTTTTATCTAGATATTTATATAGATATTTGAACTTTCTGGGTTTGCAAATAGAATAAGTCATAAGATTTAATAGTGTTTTTATGGGCATAAAAAAACAGAAATTACATTTTTATTTTATAAATTTACAAGAATACTTTTGATTTTAAGTCAGAAGTCTTTGAAAATATGCTGAAAATGGAACTGCCAGTTCTTGGAAACTTTTTTTGAAAAATATTTGAAAGAATGATTTTGTTCAGGGAGAAAACAATGTATAATGTGTTATAAAGAGAAGGTACTGTATAATTAGAATTAGAAGGGGAGATAACTAATAAAAATGAAAAATTTGTCACATATATCAATGGCATTTGTATAGGTGTAATACCACCATTGATTTTCCCCTATTAGTCTTTGTTAAATTTGCACTTTTCAAAAAATTGTGCAGAATTTATCTTTGTTTCAAATAAAGAAATACTTGGCATGAGTAAAGATTTATCCTGTCCAGTACTATAGAAAAAAATTCACATAACATTTCATTGCATATAAGAAAATAACCATCACTGGAAGTTAACCAATCAAATTTTCCCCCTTTTTTAACCTGTGTACAAGCTTTAGTAACCATGTAACCTCAAGTTTCCAAAATATTCTATAGAAACCCCAAATAAAGAAATAATGGTGCTTTGAAATACCCAAGATATATGTTTATGACTCAGAAATGTTTTACTGCAATGAAATGTAGGATCAATATCCTACAACTGTCAAATTCAAGGGAATATTTTTTTTCGACCTATTTTCGTATGCAACCGGATGTGACGTACTATGATTTGGTGGTATTACACCTAAAGAAGACTTTTTTGTTAAATAAACTGAATGTGACTTTTTTCCTTTGTAATACTGGTTATTTCAAGCATTCCTGTCAAGTTTTGTCATAATCAGTTCAATAGTTTGAGAAAAATCTAGTATAATGTAAGACGACATCTACAGCGATTCGAGCAAAATTTCTTCGAAAAATCCAAACCAAGCCGCATCATGATAGAATATAGTGTGGACCAATAAATAATCAAATATTTATCTCATCTGCCTACAAACAGTTGAATATGATACAAAAGATGACTTTAGGATGATAAATACTACTAATGGACCTCTTTGTCTTCCTCATAAGTTCTCTTTTGGTCCATTTATACCTCTCATTTCCTCAAAATTTCTACTTTTTAGGCCAATAAATAAAAATTTTGGGGTAACTTTCACTCATTTATGATAGAAATGTTATTATAAATGATTAATTGAAGTATTCAAGCTGAATGAACTATCCGTATAAAAGTTTACTGTCTCCAAGGAGGTTTCAATAAGTCCTTACGTAAAACTTAAATTTACGCCGCGTTCCAGAGAGGGACATAAAAAACTTCTCTTTTGGTGAATAATTTGTTGTTACTGCTTTAAAAATAATTTAATTTACTTAAAACTATATATTTATTAAAGTATTTCTTAGGAAAATTTTTCTAGTATAGCAGAATATAAGAAATAAGGAGAAAAAGCTCCCCAAAACTCAAAGTATGGCTTGTTCTGTCAACTAATATTCATGGTAAAGTCCTATTTCAAGGAAATTTTCTCATAAAATGTATTTTGGAGACTCAATACACTCAGAATATTTCATTATTTGTAATATTTCACTTAAATAGCAAGACATTTTAACACATGAGAGTACTCTCAAGGTCAAAGGTGCATGTACAGCTTCCCATATTAGGTGTAATACCACCATTGATTTTCCCCTATTAGTCTTTGTTAAATTTGCACTTTTCAAAAAATTGTGCAGAATTTATCTTTGTTTCAAATAAAGAAATACTTGGCATGAGTAAAGATTTATCCTGTCCAGTACTATAGAAAAAAATTCACATAACATTTCATTGCATATAAGAAAATAACCATCACTGGAAGTTAACCAATCAAATTTTCCCCCTTTTTTAACCTGTGTACAAGCTTTAGTAACCATGTAACCTCAAGTTTCCAAAATATTCTATAGAAACCCCAAATAAAGAAATAATGGTGCTTTGAAATACCCAAGATATATGTTTATGACTCAGAAATGTTTTACTGCAATGAAATGTAGGATCAATATCCTACAACTGTCAAATTCAAGGGAATATTTTTTTTCGACCTATTTTTGTATGCAACCGGATGTGACGTACTATGATTTGGTGGTATTACACCTATAGGCAAAAATTCTCAATTCATTGCAAAAATTTTGCTACACAAATTCCCCAATGTTTTGCATATATAAGTAAATGATTATGATTTTTTGAAAGTTGTAACTTGTATATATATATTATAAGGCCATACAAAAAATATTTTTGTTTTCCCCTTACCTTGTCGGGTCAGTTTTTTACCTTGCAAGTAATTTTTTTGATTTTTATTAGAAGGAAAAAAACATAAAACATGTAAAATGTTAGATGCCTGGTTTCTTTAAAGACAATTATTGATGGTGCTATTGATTGTCTGTTATATCTTATAACTTTTTCTCATGACCATGCATGACATATTTGCAACTGGACATTAAGCAACCAACAATCAATCAGTCCTTTGATTTTAAAATTGTTTCCACATTGATCATTTATTACATTTCTAAAGTTTCAGTGACAAAATCAAAATATAGAATGTCTTAAAAGAATTTAATCAGTAAGTGGTTTACTACAAAATACTATTTAGAATAAAACTGCATGTGCCTCATGTTTTTTTAACCCATAAAAGTTAATGAATATAATAAAAAGTATTTCCTGCCTACCAACCCTTAAATTGAGGATGTTAATGATGTTTGGGGAAACTGAAATTTAATTTTCCATGGCCTAACCCTTGATGAAAATCAGAAGTTATCATCATGATCATTGTCTACCACCTTTTAAAATAATATACTGTGTAACTTGTATTTTTCGTGGATATTAGATTTTGTGGATTTTCCAAAGTCTGAATACAAGCATATAGAAAATATTTACTTTGTTGAACTTTTAAATTTGTGGTTCAACTTGACCTGCAAAATCAACGAAAATCCAAAGAAAAATATAATGAATCCAAAGTATCATTTATAATATTTTAATTTATTTGCAGACTGTCAAATTTTTCATGCCTACAATGATAAGAAAAAATCATGGCCACATAGTAAATATAGCCAGCTCTACTGGATTGGTAGGTATCAACAAACTCACAGAGTACTGTGCTTCCAAGTTTGGGGTGGTCGGCTTTACAGAGGTGCTTAGTTACGAACTAATATTTGGAGGTCATGATGGGGTACATACAACACTAGTCTGTCCATCTTATGTAGAGACTGGAATGTTTGAGGGATGTAGAATGAGGTATGTTTGTTATCGAAGGACTTAAACTAAATATGCATACTAAACACATTCTGAAAGTGAGGGCTTCGTTGCTTTAACCTTATCCATCCTTTCGTCAAATATTTAGTCACACTTTTCTGAGAAGCTGCTGAACAGAATGATTGTCAATGGAAATGTAAACGTGAGGGTATTTCTGATCCGATCAGCACTACCCTTAAATAGCATGTGAAAAGTCTTTATATATTATTAAATCATGTAGATTCTATCCTTTATTCAGAAGCCATATTGTATGAATTTTTGGCTGCAGTAAAATATGTTTGCCATTGGCAAACAGATTTGAAGTTTTAAGTTATGGCACAAAATCCCTACAAAATCAATAGAACAAGCTTTTATTGCTGTTCTTCATCTTAAAATTACTGTTAGACATTCAACACAAAGTGAAAGCTGGCACCTCTTTGCAAGTTCAAGATGGCACCTAGCACCAATTTTCAAAATGTCAACATCTCTACATCTGATAATTGAACAATTCAGCTTGGGGTAACATCAACAAATTAAAGATTATAATGTCTAAAGATCTTTAATTATACAATATTGAATTAAAAAGAGCTAAAAGACAAAAAAAATATAAGACCATTAAATAAAACCAGAAAACACCATGACCAAAAATAAAATATGCTGAAAATACAAATAACAATAAAATAACAGTACATAGAAAACTAAAGATTCAGAGCAACACAATCTCCTGTACAAACTGGGGGGTGAACTCAATTCCTGCTTTATTGAACTATCCATCAATCTTACAGCATTTCTAAATCAACTTGTATTCATGATCTATGCCAGATACCATAACAAATAGGATCTATATACTATTGGGCTAATACTTTGATTCACATTGAAAGATATAAATTTTTTAAAAGTTATGTATGCATTAAATGTGTACATAGAGTTTGAACATGGTAAGCAATAACAATATTTTTATCTATAATTCACACTGAGCATGATGAGATCATTCAGGACATTCAAGTAAAGAGTTTGACCAGACAGAGAAAGTTACAATGATATATCATTTCCAAAGTTTGAAATATTTTGTTTCATTCCCTTGTAGAAAAGGATTAAATAAAAGTTATTGAAAAAATATCTCATGTATCTTATTTCAAAGGACACTCTAAAAGTAAGGTAATTGGTCCGTTGATCTACTTTTAAATTCATGGTCCATTTTGTGAAGAAATTTGACTAATAAAGATTGAAGAAAGGTCAGTTATTCGAAACCAAGATGTAAAATATGAGAGTTGAAATTAAAAGGACTTTTTTCAATTATATCTCAGAGAAGAAGTTAACTAAGTTATTAATTACATCTACGACTATAAATAAGAATTTGACCCATTTGTGGTAGCATTTTAATTTTCTCTGGTTACAAGAATTGAAGATATAGGCACCTGACATCAGCTCAAATTTGGTGTTTCAGGCATCTTATATTTTAGAATCAAGGATAGATTTCTAAATAAAAGAGGTCACTTTAGGTTCAATGAAAATGTAGATGTATAAATGATTAAAACAGTGAAGGAATTTTATTCAATCAAAATTTATAAAATAAAATAAAACTAGGCTTGCCAAGCTTTCCTCGTGTTTGGTAGCTGGGACAAAAAAATTTTCTAATTTCTGATAAGTTTCTTTATTTTTTTTTTATCTTGCAATTCACAGTTTCAAAATCAAAAACATTCTGGGCAATATTTTCAAAAGCGTACACCAAAACATTGAGATTAGTAAAAAACGTCTTGAACAATGGAAATTCAATCAATGATGTGACATTATTTTCATTTTGGGCTACAAACATGGAAATTACCCATAGTCCTTTAGTTTCTAAAACGGTGAATTGAACTTTTGTTTTTACAATGACAAGCTGTTTTATTATTTGTAAATATCAACATTTCTTGGATAAAATCTTTTGAGAACTAGATATCAAAAATGAACTGTTACTTTGAGACAACTGTCCACCAGAGATCAAATGACTTAGATGTTATCAACTATAGGTCACCTTACAGCATTCAACAATGAGCAAAACCCATACTGCCTAAGCATGCCAAAAATTAAAATGTTGTAGGGCACTTTCGGTTGGAAATTTTTTCACAGCATGATTTTATTAAGATCACCATGATATTATTGATTTTATATAAGTTATGAATTATAGTATAATTGATCATGATTTTTAAACACATGATTTCAACAATTGATTAATATTTAATATGTAATTATTTTGATATTTCAGGTTTCCATGGATATTGCCCCCATTGAAAGTCAGCTATACAGTTAATAAGATCATGCAGGCAATTCTGACAAACCAACAGATGATATGTATACCAAGATCTATATACCTCTTTACATTTCTCAAAACGTAAGTGCATTAGTTCTCATGACGTTGTATTACCATGATTTGTATAAGATCTTAAAAGTGATACCATATGATTTGTAAGATATTAAGAATGATATTGATTCAACAGCAAGATAGAAAAAGTTCAGAAGCTATAGAAATGATTTTTTTGTCTAGTTATAAAAGGATAGGGGGGTCCTTCATTTCTGTATTCTTTAATTTTTATGTCATTTTTCTCTTGTCTTTATTTTTTTTGCCAATAATTCTCTATTCTTTATATTTTATCACCCCATTATTCTCTATTCTTTTTTTTTTTACCCTGTTTTTCTCTATGCTTTATTTTTTTTGTCAATTTTTCAGTACATTTGACCGACTTTTCTCTATTCTTAAACCTCATCCAGAGCCTCATGAATGTTAAGGAGGAAAGTTGTGATCTTCATACAGAGTTGTCTTTTTCATTTGCATAATTCTTTTATTTACAGAATTAATTGTATAAAGATAAGTAGATGTGGTGTGATTGCTAATTTTCCATTTTTCTAAAGGGTGAGCACTTTTATACTGTGTTCCACTAGGGCCGATTTAAAATAAGACAAAGTCTATCCAAATTATTTTTGCAAAGAATTCCGCTAGAGATGAAGAACAACAATAAAAGCGCTGTTCCATTGCTTTTTGTATTTATTTTTTTTTTTTTTTTTTTTTTTTTTTTTTTACTGTGCATGTACTGATTTTGTGTCATGGCTGGATACCCCATATCCTTTGTTTTTCTGTTAAAGCACATATAATTAGTATAAAAATAAGGAGATGTGGTATGATTGCCAATGAGACAACTATCCACCAGAGTCCAAGTGATGTTGATTTTAAGCAACTTATTGTCTCATGCAAATTAAAGGTAATTTCTTAAGCTGTGTTTGGTGCAGATTCATTTATATGTCACAATTTTAGAAGCATGTTTATTTTGGTGTTTAAACAAGAAAGATTTAAAAAAAAAACGAGACAAAACAAATTCTCCCTTTGTTTGCTCAGGAACTACAATGTTTCTCTGATTTTGATAGCAGCTTCAGATTTAATCTAAAATTTAACAGTTCAGTGTAGAAATATCATAATTTACTCACTACAGAGTGAGTATCTAAATTTATAAATATTAGCTATCATCTACTATAGAAAAAAAAACAATAAAATAAGGGTCTTTGTAAGAAACAGAAAGGAAACAAAGCGAAACGAAACAAAACACGCGTAACGAAATGAAATCTGTTGAAACATAAAGAAATATGTATAGTGAGAAACGAAACGAAATCTGTATTTTAAGGAATATAGACAATTAGGCATAGTGGATACCTATTAACATATCATAAACAACTGGTGTTGTTCTAGTGATTGGACAAAAACACTGTTTCAGTCAATGGTCAAGTTTAAATATTGTCTTCTCTGAAAATATAATAAATGCACAAAAATACACTGTCAATCTTTAAAAATTCATATAAGAGATGTGGGATGCGTGTCAATGAGTCAGCAGCCCATGACACAAACAACCAAATGACATCTAGAGGTCAACATATAGTCTTCATCAGTGAACAATAGACATGCATTTGTTCATTATGTCAAGCTCCAAATCTTCCTGAGTAGAATAGCAACCGTTTCCTAGTTTAATGGAAATACAGCAGCATATAACATTGAGAAAAAAACGACATATTAATTGTTTACATCCACTTTATTTGAACTTTGGTGGATAGTTGTCTCATTGGCAATCATACCACTTCTCCTTGTTTTTATACATGTTGATATTCAGCCTTAAGAAACATTACATTTCCGACCTTCATCTTTCTCTAATTTTAAAGGGCAAATCAAACCCTGTTCATCCATCATTTATTACAATTCCATCTGGTTTCTGGTCATGTACAGGATGTACATTGGTAATTCTAGGCTACTACAATGTAAGCCAGACCCTCTGTCCCAGGTCATAGGAGGATTTAGTGCTCACAAACATGCTTAACCTTGCCACATTCTCTAATGTGTCTGTTCCAATTAAGAAACCAGTAATTCAGTGGTTGTTGGTTCATGTCTGTCATATTTGTTTTTATCATAAGTTGTATTAAGTTCTTTTGTTTAAATTGTTTCACATTTTTTTATCACAGGGCTTTTTATAGCTGACTATAAGGTATGGGCTGAACAGTGACATATGGTTGTTTTTATCTTTGTCATTTGAAATCTGATGGATGATCAGTTGTCTCATTGGTATTCATACCACATCTCTTTGTTTTTATATGCACTTTTAGGCTGATCTGATTATCTGTTTTTTACTATTTTGAAAGTCACAGGTACTGTAAAATGATACATCATGTCGCAAGGTGGCTTACCAAACTATTTGACCATATTAAAGCCACAAATAGTGTGAACGTCAATGAGGCAACAACTCTTAATAAAATATAATACTGCCAGAATCCTGAAATTATAAGCTATATGTGGCACATTGCATTATTAAGGATAATGAATAGATATTATGCAATTTATTTGTTTGATATATATTTGTCAGTAATAATTTGCATAATTATTTTACAGAGATAAGCACAACACAATTCCAGGAGAGTTTTTCAACACGCGTATGTTTACACATCATTACACGAGATGTTTATGATATGTTAATAGGCACAAAATTTGCCTAATTGATTATTTATTTTTAAAATCTAAGTCAATCAGATATTTGTGGTAAAAAAAATCTCTATGAGTTGTTCTTTAAAATGCAGATTTTGTTTCATTTCATTGTGTTTCGTTTCGTTTTGTTAGGTTTTATTTCGTTTTGTTTTCGCTGTTTTTTGTAACATTCCACTGTGTTTTGTTTCTGTTTCATTTCTCGCTTAAAAGGGACCCATGATATACAGCAGGAAACAGAATACTGTAAAATGAAATTTTCATGAGGGTTTTTTCTCGCTAATTTTATAGCTCTATAAGATTTAGAAATATCCCTTTGCATAAATTTGTTCTTTTTATTAGATCAGTATCAATGACAATAAACTAATAAACAAATAAAAATTCGCTAAAATGTTTGGTGCTACAAAGGCAAAATTAAAACTCACTTTTCAATATTAAAAATTGAAAATAGACAACTAATGTAATAAAATATAGAAATAAAAGTCAAAATGAAAAGATGAATTTTAGACGAGGACCTCCTGACATTTTAATATTTCATAAAACACAATAAAAAGGAGAAGGGCTTTCCCATGTTTGGACTTTGCTCCGTTCATTACAAATCAAGTTGATTAACCTGTATGTCATGATTTTTGGTTGTTAGATAATTTGTTTGCTTACCCAAAAAACTAACTAATCTAAAGTGTTAAGTTTGTAGTTCCATGGGAGATAACTCAATATTTAAATTAAGTTTGTAGTATGTATGGTAGCCTGGGATCCTGGCTCATAGCTATAGGTCAATAGTTTATAAGAGCCAGAATTTTTTTTTTGTTTATTGGATGTCAGAAGATACATTGTGGGATAATGTTATTTGTGATACATTGCAGGAAATAGTCACAAATTTGTTAAAAATTAGATAATTTCAACATTCATCCAAAATGCACTTTTCAGTAAATATAGCAATTTTAAGCCAAACATTACATATTTATATTGTGATTCAACAGTTTATTTACTAACTTAAATCAATATACCCTTTGTTTATATAATATGCACATGTGCAGTAATTCAGTACTGTTCAGGGTTGGAAAGCATTCATGTGGATTCTATTTAGCCTTGTCTAAATGACACAAACAGGATCCTATCGAAGGTCAGCGGTTTTTCTCCGGGCACTCTGGCTTCCTCCACCAATAATAACTGGCCACCACGAAATAGCCCAAAAGCGGTGCTTAAAAGTGGCGTTAAAACACCAAAAATCAAAATCAATCACAAACAGGATGGTGGACCTGGATCCCAGGCTAGTTATATGGGAAATAACTCTATATTTTCAAGTTGTTTTTAGGTGTAATACCACCATTGTTTTTCCTCTATTAGTCTGTTAAATTTGCACTTTTCAAAAAATTGTGTGCAATTTATATTTGTTTCAAATAAAGAAATACTTGGCATGTGTAAAGTTTTATCCTGTCCAGTACTACAGACAAAATTTCACATAACATTTCATTGCATATAAGATAATAACCATCACTGGAAGTTAATCAATCAAATTTCCACCCCTTTCTTTCTTGTTTACTTGCTTTAGTAACCATGTAACCTCAAGGTTCCAAAATATTTGATAGAAACACCAAACAAAAAAAGAATGGTGCTTTGAAACACCCAAGATATATGTTTATTACTCAGAAATTTTTTACTGCAATGAAATATAGGATTAATTTCCTACAACTGTCAAATTCAAGGGAATATTTTTTTTGTATGCAACCAGATGTGACGTACTATGATTTGGTGGTATTACACCTGTAGCTATATGGGAGATCTCTCCGTATTTTCAATTAATTTGTAGTTATATAAGGAGAAAGGTCCATATTTTCAAATAGTGTGTAGGTGTATGGGAGATAACTCAATATTTTCAATTAGGTTGTAGGTATATGGGAGATAACTCCGTATTTTCAATTAGTTTGTAGTGATATGGGAGATATCTCCATATTTTCAATTTGTTTGTAGTATATGGGAGATAACTTCAAATTTTAATTAGTTTGTAGTTATATGGGAGACATCTCCAAATTTTAATTAGTTTGTAGTAATATGGGGGATAACTTCATATTCTTGATTAGTTTGAAGTTCTATGGCAGATATCTTCACATTTTCAATTTGTTTGTAGTTATATGAAAGATAACTCCAATATTTTCAATAAGTTTGTAGTTATATGGGAGATGGCTCCATATTTTCAATTTGTTTGTAGTTATATGGGAGATAACTCCATATTTTCAATTAGTTTGTAGTTATGGAAGTACACCACTAATTCATGGCCCCATTGCTTTCTATGTTAAATTCCTCAATTTCAAGCAGACACAGCTCTTTTGTTTCAAGTTCAAATAAAGTGACAATCATTGCATGTCAAAGCAACACTTTATGGTGTCTTGTACTGGAAAAATCAACATACCTTTAATGGCATATAAGAAAGAACTGGTTCCCGGAACTTCGGATGTACCAAAACAGGTACTTCAGATCTGACATACAGGCAAAAAGTACCCTCTTTATAAAATTTGGTGCAGTTTTTTTAATATTCAAAATTATAAGTCCAAAAGTGTTCTACAATGATCACCAGTCATTCAGCTTTCATTTGATACCAACAATACCTAAATATTCTACATATTTTGAAAGCTACACTCATGCGTAGGAACTATTTTGTGTTAAATATGTACTACTTTCTGGTATGTGCTTTCTGGCCGGGCCGAATTAGTGGTGTTACACCTATAACAGAACCAAACTTGCTATACTGACTTCAGCATCACTTTATTTCATTCTATAATCTATTTCAAGCAATAAAAAACACATAAAGCTTATGTCCAAATACTATTTTACTAATTTTAAGCTCAAATTGGACTGGTAGTAACATATAGGTTATTCAAAGAAAACTGCATATGGATATTATAAATGGCCAATATACTTATTTTATTCTCAATATCATTGTTGTATTTAATAATTTCTGTTAGGAAGACATTGTGCTTACCAATAGTCATAATTTACCAGAGTTTGTTCATTTAATAAAAATATATTAGACCAAACCTAAGACATAATTGAGAAAATTGTCCCCCCTTTTTTCTTCAAATTGGAAAAGGGACATTTTTGGTATAAACCATACTTCTGTGGTACAACATAGATTATAAAGAGCAATTTATATATTTTTCAGCTGGATAACTTGCTAAACTGGTTCAAAATTGCATGTACAGTGAGATTTTGGAATTCTTATATGAGTATATACCAATTGCCTAGATTGTAAAAGGCTATCATAAGAAAACCAATAAAACTTGAAAAATCATAGGATTATTTGACCAAGAGCTATTTTTTTACCATAAACAAGTCATTATATACATGTTTTATTGATTGCAATCCCAAATAATGCAAAAATAAGAATTTGGAGTCAAGTCTTAACTGCATGCATGTTGTGTGACCATAAAAGGCTAAAATACCTGATTATGTCAATTTAAGAGCTGAAATTTCCCATAAACAGAATTGTTCTTCAAAAAAAGATGATTAAACATGTTTACTTACATCAAATATGACTTATTTTCATTGGAATAGGTACAACTTCTAAAAATTGAATTTCTGATGATTCTCTGTAATAGGAAGTACACCACTAATTCATGGCCCCATTGCTTTCTATGTTAAATTCCTCAATTTCAAGCAGACACAGCTCTTTTGTTTCAAGTTCAAATAAAGTGACAATCATTGCATGTCAAAGCAACACTTTATGGTGTCTTGTACTGGAAAAATCAACATACCTTTAATGGCATATAAGAAAGAACTGGTTCCCGGAACTTCGGATGTACCAAAACAGGTACTTCAGATCTGACATACAGGCAAAAAGTACCCTCTTTATAAAATTTGGTGCAGTTTTTTTAATATTCAAAATTATAAGTCCAAAAGTGTTCTACAATGATCACCAGTCATTCAGCTTTCATTTGATACCAACAATACCTAAATATTCTACATATTTTGAAAGCTACACTCATGCGTAGGAACTATTTTGTGTTAAATATGTACTACTTTCTGGTATGTGCTTTCTGGCCGGGCCGAATTAGTGGTGTTACACCTATAACAGAACCAAACTTGCTATACTGACTTCAGCATCACTTTATTTCATTCTATAATCTATTTCAAGCAATAAAAAACACATAAAGCTTATGTCCAAATACTATTTTACTAATTTTAAGCTCAAATTGGACTGGTAGTAACATATAGGTTATTCAAAGAAAACTGCATATGGATATTATAAATGGCCAATATACTTATTTTATTCTCAATATCATTGTTGTATTTAATAATTTCTGTTAGGAAGACATTGTGCTTACCAATAGTCATAATTTACCAGAGTTTGTTCATTTAATAAAAATATATTAGACCAAACCTAAGACATAATTGAGAAAATTGTCCCCCCTTTTTTCTTCAAATTGGAAAAGGGACATTTTTGGTATAAACCATACTTCTGTGGTACAACATAGATTATAAAGAGCAATTTATATATTTTTCAGCTGGATAACTTGCTAAACTGGTTCAAAATTGCATGTACAGTGAGATTTTGGAATTCTTATATGAGTATATACCAATTGCCTAGATTGTAAAAGGCTATCATAAGAAAACCAATAAAACTTGAAAAATCATAGGATTATTTGACCAAGAGCTATTTTTTTACCATAAACAAGTCATTATATACATGTTTTATTGATTGCAATCCCAAATAATGCAAAAATAAGAATTTGGAGTCAAGTCTTAACTGCATGCATGTTGTGTGACCATAAAAGGCTAAAATACCTGATTATGTCAATTTAAGAGCTGAAATTTCCCATAAACAGAATTGTTCTTCAAAAAAAGATGATTAAACATGTTTACTTACATCAAATATGACTTATTTTCATTGGAATAGGTACAACTTCTAAAAATTGAATTTCTGATGATTCTCTGTAATAGGAAGTACACCACTAATTCATGGCCCCATTGCTTTCTATGTTAAATTCCTCAATTTCAAGCAGACACAGCTCTTTTGTTTCAAGTTCAAATAAAGTGACAATCATTGCATGTCAAAGCAACACTTTATGGTGTCTTGTACTGGAAAAATCAACATACCTTTAATGGCATATAAGAAAGAACTGGTTCCCGGAACTTCGGATGTACCAAAACAGGTACTTCAGATCTGACATACAGGCAAAAAGTACCCTCTTTATAAAATTTGGTGCAGTTTTTTTAATATTCAAAATTATAAGTCCAAAAGTGTTCTACAATGATCACCAGTCATTCAGCTTTCATTTGATACCAACAATACCTAAATATTCTACATATTTTGAAAGCTACACTCATGCGTAGGAACTATTTTGTGTTAAATATGTACTACTTTCTGGTATGTGCTTTCTGGCCGGGCCGAATTAGTGGTGTTACACCTTATATAGGAGATAACTCCGTATTCATCAATTTTTTTTGTAGTACCATTGGAAACATCTTTATTTTTTATTACAGAATACTACCTGTAGAAGCATTTCATGAGATAATAAAGTTATTTGGTGCAGCAAATTTTATGGACAGTTTCATTGGTCGAAAAAAGACTGAAACAGAAGAGAATACAAATGGTTTCCATAATGGACATGACACAGTAAAAACTTGAATGGCAAGTGTGGACACTCAGTAGAGAGGAAATTTAGCGTGCAATTGAGTGAAGAAAACTTTTAACATCTAGTGCAATCAATCTAATTGATTGTGGTTTTGTAATTGTTTGAAAAATGTCAAACATACATCATGTACATTTTCATAAAACATATGCTGTAGTTTCATTTGTGATCATGTGTAATAATTCTGTCATAATAAGACGTTAAATTGTATTTTTATGGCTACTATAAATTCTGAAATTATTGCTAGGTTTTTATTATTGCAAATAATGCAACTTGGTGAGAATTGCAATAATAAAAAATTTGCAGAAAAAAGTATTCTGATATCTGATACATATATCTATATATATATGCAGCTTTTCCTGAAATTGCAATGATTAATCTCGCATTTTTTATTTATTCTTCAAAAATTGCAGTGATAAATGCGTACAATAATCTTTGAATTTACAGTTCTTGATTTTATGGTTGTAAAAAAATAATGCTGAACAATTTATATGAGCAAAGGGATTTGAATAGAATAGCAAAAAACATCTAAGGTCAGTTTTGCCTGAGGGAGTTTAAACCATAGTTTATCAAATCTATCAACCGAAAATTTAATAAATGTTTGTTATAATCATATCTGTGGCAAATTACTGACTACTTAGGCGGAAAATGTTACTGGGACTTACAGCCCAACAAGAGAAGCATTGTTATTCAGAATTCCAATTGATAATTTTCAAATAATTTTAGGGATGATATTTTTCATGACTTCATTGTTTGAATATAGAAAAGCAAAGTTTAAAAAAAAAAAACTATTGTATTATGTCACAGCCAAAGTTATCTAACAGGAGGGGCAGTAGGAGGGAGTGTCATCCTGAATTCCTGAAAAAATAAAGTATTCTTTCCCTGATCCTGAAAAATTAATTATTAATTCCCAGTCCCGAAAGGGTAAATCCCAATTCCAGCGACACAAAAATCCCAATACTGAATTCCCGCAAAAATAAAGGCCTAATCCAGATATCCTGAAAAAGGTCCTTCTGCAACTCAAACATATATCTTGATGTGCCCCTAGGTTGTCTAAATGTTTGTATTTTTCCTGTGTTTTACAGAGATTGTCAACCATCAACTCATGTTACACTATGTCATGTAAATAAATGTTTTTGGAAAGCTGGTTGAATTGATTGCAATCTATCTTATTTAAAAAAAAATGTTTTTACATAAAATATGATAAAGCAAGGTTATATCTTTATACTTGAAATTTTATTTATTCACTGAAGTTTTCTTTTTTCCTTGTTACTGTATATCAGAATTTATTGTGTGCATTTATTATTGGGATTTTTAAAGAAATGACATAAATACAAGATTGATTATTGCAAATTCAGAAAAATCTGCTTATATATGTACCAGATATCAGAATGCACACTCTTATTATAGCGATACTCACCTAGTCGCATTATTCGCGTTAATAAAAATCAAAATCTTGCAATAATTCCTGAATTTACAGTTCTCAATTGGCATAATACTAAAATTTTGATATTGGAACTGATGACAATTAACGATAATGAAAATTCTTTTAAATGCATAGTAGAAAATTGAATAGAGTGGCCTGTGCTTCACAGAAAAGTCTAATGAAGTTTCAGAAAATTAGCAAAAATATGGCTTACAGTGGACACTCATAAAGTTCCTAAATTAAAAACTAATTTTTGTCGAGCCTGCAACTTTTGTCACAGAAAGCTCGACATAGGGACAGTGATGCGGCGGCGGCAGTGTTAGCTAACTTCTTAAAAGCTTTGTATTTTAGAAAGTGGAAGACCTTGATGCTTCATACTTTGTATATAGATGCCTTATGTTACGAAGTTTCCGTCTGTCACATGTCCATTGTCCTTGACCTCATTTTTATGGTTCAGTGACTACTTGAAAAAAAGTTGAGATTTTTTGTAATGTTAATTTCTCTCTTATTATGAGTAATAGGTCATTAGGATAACTATATTTGGTATGTGCGTACCTTGCAAGGTCCTCATGCCAGTCAGACAGTTTTCACTTGACCTCGACCTCATATCATGGATCAGTGAACAAGGTATAGTTTTGGTGGTCAAGTCCATATCTCAGAAACTATAAGCAATAGGTCTAGTATATTTGGTGTATAGAAGGATTGTAAGATGTACATGCCCAACTGGCAGGTGTCATCTGACCTTGACCTCATTTTCATGGTTCAGTGGTTACAGTTAAGTTTTTGTGTTTTGGTCCGTTTTTCTTATACTTTATGCAATAGGTCTACTATATTTGGTGTATGGAATGATTGTAAGATGTACATGTCCAACTGGCAGGTGTCATCTGATTTTGACCTCATTTTCATGGTTCAGTGGTCTTGGTTAAGTTTTTGAGTTTTGGTCTTTTTTCTGATACTATATGCAATAAGTCAACTATATTTGGTGTATGGAAATATTTTATGATATACATATCAGTCTCGCAGGTTTTATTTGACCTTGACCTCATTTTCACGGTTCATTGCTCAGTGTTAAGTTTATGTGTTTTGGTCTGTTTTTTTTAAACTATAAGCAATAGGTCAACTATATTTGTTGTATGGAAGGATTGTAAGCTGTTCATGTCTGCCTGGCATGGTTCATCTGACCTTGACCTCATTTTCACGATCCATTGGTCAATGTTTAGTTTTTTTGGTTAAGTCTGTTTCTTAGAAACTATAAGCAATAGGTCAACTATATTTAGTGTATTGAATGATTGTAAGGTGTACATGTATTTCTCTTCTGGTTTATATGACCTTGACTTCATTTTCTTGGATCATGTTGAGTTTATGTTAAAGTTTTAGTAAAGCTTTCATTTAGGACTATCAACATAATATCAATGGTTAGTAAAGAAGGCAAGACATTTCGCGTGTGCACTCTTGTTAATGTACAAGCACAATGTTTCATCAGTGAGAATATTTCTATTGTAAGAAAAAAGGATTTTTTACACTATTTTATTATTTTTCACATCTATATTATTGTATAGTAATTGCTACATATTAAAATCTGATTAAAATATTGATCCTGTGTGCAAGCTTTGCTTACATGGATCTGACAACACTCAGTTTTACTTTCTGTTCTGGTAATTAGTACATTAGCCAATGAATTTACGCCTCCAAATTTTTGAAGGTGTGTATTAATCCGACAAAACCAGAGGATCCCGAAAGGTGTTTAAAACAGAAAGTACAAGTACTGTACAACTGAGAGCTTTCCGATCCTTGTAAACAAAGCTTGGACACAGGATTAGTATTTTAATCGGATTGTACTTATTGTTTTTTTCTCTTGTGTAATATAATATTGATGTTTTTTAACTGTGATGTTTGTTTTTATTCTCGATATTTCTCCACTGAGAGAGTGTTCAATTTCTTAAATAAAACTTGTAAAATTTGAAATTAGTAATCATGGTTGTCTGTGATCCTTTTTGATAAATTTTGAAATCTAATTGTTGGTTCTCTAAGAGCCTAAAAATGATCATAGTATAACGTTCACCTTGTCCGACCGTTTGTCCAACAAATATTTTGTTACACTTTTCTCAAAATCTACTTCACAGAATGACTCCATATATGGCCAGCTAGTAAGCAATGTTGAGCTGAAAAGTATGTGCATTTTCCGATCTGTCCAACATCTACTTTCTGTTTTTCGATACTTTGAATTATGAGTGGGATGTACCTTGCACTTCAAAGCATTTATTATTTATTGTTTTATTTTCCCTAGTATTAAACACATTAATATGATTATTGTTTATTGTTGGTGGAATTTGCTGTTTGTTTGTTTGTTTTTTTTAGTTATCTTTTACAAATTTGACAATTATGGCGTTCTCATATTCACAGCCATATGAGGGATTTTTGGTCGAGTGGTCTAAGTTGTTCACCTACTGTATCACTAGCCTGTCAACACCAAGGTTGTGAGTTCAATTCCCGCCCGAGACAGGTATGTTCAACTATCTCAATTGACTAGGATTGTCAGTTTTCCTACTTAAGGTCATGGTTCTCTCCGGGCTATATGGCTTCCTCCACCAATAAAAACTGACCGTCACAAAATAGCCAATAGTGCTGAAAGTGGCGTTAAGCACCAATCAATCAAACAATCGCATCCATATGCATGTTATATTTAAAAATAACTACAAAGTTGCATAATTATTAACACTTTTTACCGTAAATTACCTTTCAAGAATATGTTATAAAAGGGCAGCTCTTTTAAATAAGGGCTGTTATACAGATAAATATGCATTAAACCCTGAGAAGGCACTTTGAAATCTCAGCTATGGGAGAACAGAGAAATTAAAAGTTGGTTCTGTAGGTGTTTACCCCATTATGAAAGTGCCTTCTCTGAGTACCATTCTGATCGAGCTTTAAACTAAATGTGAATAAGAGTAATTTCCCTTTGAGGGCAATATCTCTGTTTTTCTTAAATGAAGAGTTAGATTTTTGAATTATTCTATATGGAATTTGCTTGTAATATTTGGTTTGTATAAACCAGCCTTTATTGTTGTCTGTGCACGAGGTCTTAAAACTTCTGACAAACTTGTAAGCTAGAATGTATGGTCAGAATATAAGATAATTCATACTTTTATATATACATCATACATGTACTACCAATCATAACTCTGTATTGTAATGTGGTTAAGATTTTGTTATTTAATTTGTAAATATGAAAACATATATCAAATGATAAATTAATGTGAAAGTATATACTATCTACATATGTTAAGTGTATTAATTCACTCAAATATAAATCACTTTCAATCACCTCATTATGTCGAGGATAGGGGAACATTAAGTTGTATTTCGGGAATTACAGAAAATTCAGAAATTATTTCGAGGTTTTTATTAATGGGAATGATGTGACTGGGTCAGTATCTCAATAATTAATCTCTCACTTTTGTCCATTCATAAAAATTCCCAAAATTAAATGCACGCAATAATTTCTGACTTTACAGTACATTGTTTTGGGCTAAACAATAAAGATAAGAGAAAAATGGGTGAAGAAAATGAAGAATACAGAAACATAGCCTTAGAAACAAAAGAATACAGAAATGAATTCATTTTCTTGTTATTTTGTAAATTTCAATTTATAATTAGATTCATTCGATTATAAATACATTGTTTGTTAATTGTTATTATGTTATATATATGTTATGTCGTAATTGGTGCTACTAAAATAAATATATATATGTATATTGTTACCATAAATCTTTGTTGGAGTAGCCAGCTAATATATCTTTATAAACATCCTTACATTTAACTTTTCTGGTAAGTGATACTTACCAAACTCCTCAGACTTTAACCTGTCTATAACACAATTTATATTGTATATTTTAGATAATCTTTTAAAAAAAAAAAAAAATAAATGTTGGAATGAAACTCAAAATTCATATTCCCAATAGAAAAATATATATGAAAAGTTAGAAGGATAGTTCAGGATGTCAAATTTCTTAGTAAAGTTGAACATATTTAACAAGGTTTGATCATTTATTTTAAAAGATTATATACTCTTATGAACCACAGAAACTGTTCATAGGGACAGTTTTACAAAACTTTTCCAGCACCATAGCTAGATACTATTCGACAAAATTCCACTTCCAATGAAAATGTGGTTTTCTGATTGGCTAAATCTGATTGATTAATATTCTTGGGATTTACTCAATTTAAATTAATTTAAGCAGTGAATCAATTTGTTTACACGTTTTATAACCCCTCTCAATAGAGTTGGGTATATAGGAATCTTTGTGACCATCACACTTTTGTTTCAAGTGTCTATATTTACGTTAAGAGTTAATGTACTTGATTGTTAAAATTGTTTTGGTTTCTGTGATAAATGGAGAATCTTTTCATAAAATTGATTGAAATTTTAATGGAATGTTTTAAATTGCTAAAGAGAGATTAAGTTAAATTTTTTATTTTTATGCCCCCGCCGTAGGCATTGAGTGTTTCCCTCGACTGTTCGTCTTTCCCATTTTTGTTTCCGCACTCTAACTTAAGTTTGTCTCATCCAAATTTTTCGAAACTCATATATAATGCTTAGAACTAAAACTCGCAGATAGAGTTCGAATGTGAGCAGTGAGTCACTTACGGGTGTAGAGTTATGCCCCTTTATAACTTGGAAAATTGCAAATTTTTTTGTTTCCGCACTCTAACTTAAGTTTTTCTCATTCAAATTTTATGAAACTCATACACAAGACTTAGAACCTCAACTCGTAGACAGAGTTTGAATTTGGGTTGTGAGTCAATACTGTTCTAGAGTTATGCCCCTTTTTAACTTGGAAATTTGCAAAGCTTTAGCATTAGCAGTCGTGTCCTTGGACACATTCTTCTTACTATTACCATTCCTGAGTTATGGTACTTGATTGTTGGTTTGTTTTGTATGATCAGTATTCAGGTGAGCATCCGACTCAAATTGAATAAAGAAAAGACAAAATTCAGATAAGGTTCGTTTCTATGGTCATAATTTGGAGTCTCCCACTGGTTCCATCATATTTGTATACAATTTCTCAAATCCAGGCACCAAAGAATATCTGGGCTAATATAACGTTAGTATAATAGTCCCAGACCTGGGTAGTCCAAAAAAAAGGTATTCATATATAATGCCTTTTAACTATTACATCTTATAAAATTTCACTATATTCTGCTACAGAAATAAAATCATGATCTCTCAGTTGCAACGGACGGTAGGGATAGTGTGATTACCAGATCTCCTCTTTAGTTAGTAATAAAAATAAGGAGATGAAGTATGATAGCCATCAAGACAACTATCCACAAAATTTCAAATGAAGTGGATGAAACCAATTGTAGGCAACCGTATGGCCTACAAACAATGAGAACACGAGTTAGTTGATTCTGGGAGGAGGATACATTACTGTAAATTCAGAAATTATTGCAAGGTTTTTATTAATGCAACTACCGGTACTTGAGTATCGCAATGATTAGGACTCTCGTTCTTGTATCAAATACATATATTTGTATGTATATGTATTTAGCTTTTCATAAAATTGCAATATTTATACTCGCATTTTTGTTCATTCTTTAAAAACCGCAATAATAAATGAACGCAATAATTTCTGAATTTTCAGTATTTCCAAGGTTGATAATGGGACCACACATAGTGAAATAGATTTAATGTGAAACTACAAGCTTTATCCTGCTCGTACAATTGACGTGCAACATGATTTAATGTATACATGTATACCGGTTTGTTGGCAAAAAATGGCCTTGGATGGGACGCAACAAATACTATATAGATTAAAAAAGTCATGTACAGTTTTCCATTTGAAATATTTAATTTAACTATGTCATAAAATAATTTCACTACACATTGCTTGATATTGCCGACTTAATTTCTCTTCTTTTTTTTTAATTTTATATTCTACTGATAAATGGACTCACTTTTTATGTCAACATTACACAACACTGACAGCAGCAATCGCAGGCAAGACACAGAGTTCTGTGGAACCCCTTGCGATTTTTTTACATTTAAACATTGAAAGCCGTTTAAAATTTCTAAATACAATCGGTAATATTCAATTCATATCAGAAGTTTTAAGGGGGGGAGGGTCCTTCTATTTTGTATTCTTTAATTTTTTAATAAAATTGAGAATGGAAATGGGGAATGTGTCAAAGAGACAACAACCCGACCATAGAGCAGACAACAGCCGAAGGCCATCAATGGGTCTTCAATGCAGCGAGAAACTCCCGCACCCGGAGGCGTCCTTCAGCTGGCCCCTAAACAAATATGTATACTAGTTCAGTGATAATGGACGTCATACTAAACTCCAAATTATACACAAGAAACTAAAATTAAAAATGATACAAGACTAACAAAGGCCAGAGGCTTCTGACTTGGGACAGGCGCAAAAATGCGGCGGGGTTAAACATGTTTTTTGAGATCTCAACCCTCCCCCTATACCTCTAGCCAATGCAGAAAAAACAAACGTACAACAGTACGCACAGTAAGCCGTTTTTCTCTATTCTTAATAAATTTTGCCCATTATTCTCCATTATTTATACTTAAGCACCCTATTATTTTCTACTCTATATTTTTTGGCATATTTTTCTCTATTCTTGATATGTTTTGCCCTTTTTCTGCACGTTTGTTCATTATTCTCTTTTCCGTTAACCCCACCCTAACCCTCATATCAGTATACTCTCCTGAATATGATTGTAATAATTGTCACTCATCCGACACTGTAAAGAAAGTGGGTTGTTTGTTACATGAAAATGATTATTTTATCGGAGTGTTAATTTAAAAAAAAAAAAAACGGACCTTGTGGTGTTGCTTTTTGGATGAATTAAGACCGTGAACAATAATCTGAAACTAGTCACATTTAATTCCTGTTATCGTCTATTACTTGTAGAGGAGTGGTATTGGACTTCTACATCAGCGGCGCATGCGCTTTATACATTTACGATTAAAATTGCTCATTAATCGAACTGAAATACGTCTGTCTACTTTTTTAGTATATTTTTCTCGCAACATATTTTGTAAAAATTATTTGCCTTTATTAATACGACGAAAAAAAAACTCTATAAAAAATAGGTAATAACTTGACGATATGCTATACTATCCGGACATCCGTGTACATGTATCAAGAGCTTTCCTGGACAAAAATATTTAAGAAATATAGTCATGTACAGTGTGCCATTTAAAATATGTATTTTAATTACTAGTATGTCATAAAAATAAGTCACGTGAAGAGATCCTGTCAACCATTTATGGTCTCTTATTCATTTCTTAGAAGGGTTGCTGTCTCGTTGACGTATACCCCAAACCTCTTTTTATCAATATTTAATATATGGATTCGTTGTACAGTGATAGAACTATCAGTCGTCGGACATAGCACCATATGACTTGACATCGTCATTATTATACATCGATTTAATGATGAGTTATTTTCTTCATTGGTAAGGAAGAATTAAAAAAAGGCACAACGTAATCATGGCGGTATTTCTGATTTTCGGGAAATTTGACATGCATTTGGAACTTTTTGAACTGTATCTGAATATAAAAAAATAAGCATGTAATCTTTAAACTTCCCGATACTTATTCAAACAATTATGTATGAAATATATCTGTAAATACATAGAATGCACGTAAAATCGATATAAATCTGCAAATTTCAGTTTTCCATTTTGAATAGCGAGTTCTTGTAAACATACACTTTGTTCAGAAGTTGACGTGTAATTGCGGTGAATCTTTCCGTTTCAATGATATGTACAACTTATACATGTGGTCACCGGCTAGAGTTTTGTCGTCTTAATCGTTTAAGTTTGATTAATGTATAAGAAAAGAAGAAAAACTACGCCATGGTTTTGCAGTGTGATGTGACGCCAACACGACGTTATGTGAATTTGTTTTTTGGGACTCTTTCACTCTATATATACCAAAACCAAATGATTTCAATTGCAAAAATCCTAGGTTAGGGGGACGATTGAGCGCTCTTAAACATATCTAACCCTGCCAAATTCTTTATATTCCTGTCCAAAGTCAGGAGCCTGCAGTTCATTGGTTGTCGTTGGTTCATGTCTGTCATATTTGTTTTTCGTAAATTGTTTTGTTATAAATTAGGCCGTTAGTTTTCTTAATTGATTTGTTTCGTATTTTTCATGTCGGGGCCTTTTATAGCCGACTATACGGTATGGATTTTGCCATTGTTGAAGGTCGTACGGTTGCCTATGTCTCATTGGTTATCATACCACATCTCCTTATTCTTATATTATGTATATATGCGCCGGTCCTAAGTCGGGAACCTGTTATTCTGTGATTGTCGTTTGTTGCAGTATAGCATATCTGTTTTTCAATCATTGTTTTGTACATCAATCAGGTCGTTTTCTCATTGGAATTGTTTTACATTTGTTATTTTGGGCCTTTTATAGCTTGCAATGCTGTATGGGCTTTGATCATTGTTGAAGGCCGTATTGTAACCTATCGTTGCTAACTTCTACGGCGGTTATTTGGTCTCTGGTGGAGAGTTGTCTCATTGGCAATCATACCACAGAAATTGCAATAATCTAATATACTTTGGGGGAAAAGGCGGGTGTAATTCCAATCGTAGATGGGTTGCCCGAAAACGTAATATTCAACGCCCAGTTCCTCTGTTGTTTAATGCAAATATCAACGAAAGCTTCTTCATTTGTTGTTTCAGATTTAAATTTTGTGGTTTTATTTCTTTTCACAATATAGTAATATAAATTTTCAATATATTTTCAAAAATTATCTCGACTTTGGCTTAGGGAAGAT